GAGGGCACCCTTGAAGCGAGCTTGGGAATACCTATATGGACTAGGGGAGAGATGGCAAGACATAAGGTAGAATACATTGATCTTGGATGATGGACTGTCCGAGAGTTGTCCATTTCATGCCAGACGGGTCTCCAAGAAGGAGCATGACTTTTAGAACAGATCTAGACCTCTGAGAATGGATATTCCACAGTCTCCTGCAGCAACTCTTCCCTGTGCCAGATTATCTCGCCTTTCCTTTGGCATCCCCTCCAACTTCTGGTGTGAGAGAAAGGCAGAATCTAGTGCTGGGAGCCCCTTACAGTTCTAGCTCAGCAATGTTCACTCTCTGATGGTATAGCAGGGCAAATGGGCTTATTTCTTGTCTTTTCTTTTCCCAAGAATTTTACAGCCCTGATACCTGGAACAACAGTGGAGATTTTACATGGAGACTCCAACAATGTTATTCAACTGATTATCAATGCGTACAATGTAAGTCATCGGTTTCTTCCCCCACTACCTCCTCCACCCCTATTCTCGCCCACTGAGGCTTCGGGAGCTGACGTAGACTCCGGTGGGTAGTGCACCAGGCTGGCGTGCTTGGCTTTACTCTGTGTCTCCTGCCTCTTGAGCTTGGCGCCTTCTTCCTTCACTTAGGTTTGTGGTGGAGAAGCCCATCCTGCTTGATGCATCCCTCTCCCCTCCCCTCTGCCATCCTGACTCATCATAAGCTGATCCCCATAAACAGCAAAAGGCTTGGTCAGACTCAGGCTGGCAGCCCTGGCCATGCTTGAGTTCTGACTACATGATAACCCAGGCCCGCTGGAGCATCTCGCTTGGGTGGATCCAGGTGCTCTCTATCCAGTTGCCTAGGCGATCCTGCCACAGTGCTCCCAGTGGTGAATGTGAGAAGCACACATACTGATATTGTCTCAGAGTGAGCAAGACAGTTGAAATTCCCTAGTTGCAGATAAAATGGGATAGAAGAATCAGAGAAGAATCAGCAATAGGTCTTTTGCCTACACATTTAGGATCTGATTGTAATCAGGTCCTTACGGAGGGAGCCTGGGTGGGCCCATTAAATTCTGTGCTATTGTATGTAACTCATCTTTTTACCTTGGCTCTACTACATAGTAAGTGCAGCATTTGCAGAGATTGTTCGGGAGTCACTTCCACATCCCGAGCCCATTGTCTGTGATTTCCAGACCTTTCTCCTTCCTATGTTCCTTTCCCTCAATTCCTAATACCCAAGAAGTACTTGACTTAGACCTGCTTTTTTTTTTTTCTTCAGGAAAACGCAAGCATAGTTTCTTTCTTTCTTTCTTTCTTTCTTTCTTTCTTTCTTTCTTTCTTTCTTTCTTTCTTTCTTTCTTTCTTTCTTTCTTTTTCTGAATGAAACTTTAATTTTACATAATTAAATTGACTTGACAGTTCAGTGTGTTAAAATAGTAATCATAGTTTCTTGTGCTGGGAAGTATGTACCCTCAGCTATTCCCTCCCTGCTAAGCCCCAGGATGGTTGTAGCTTCCAGCACCCACCCAGCCCCTTATGGGGCCAGGTAATTCCCAGACTGGCTATATGCGAGCCCCTTGGGAAAGTTTCAGAGGGCATATCTGGGGAAGAGCCACCTCCCAGGAGTTCCATCCTCAGTCAGCTCTGAGTCCAGGCCCCTGTGGGTAGCTGACAGACTTATGGGGCTTTCCCAAGAACATTTCTTGGTAAAGGCGCAGGCCCTCTGCTCCTTGTGGCTTTAATAAAGGAAAACATAATGATGCTCAGTTCCACAGAACCGGCTGGATAGTGTTTGCCAGAAAAGAAAAGAAAACGCTCTGCTCAGTCAGCGTTGTGTGGCTAAGCAGTTCTGCATGTCCACACTTGTGTGTGGTACTGCTCAAAACCAGGGAGCACGAGGCATTGTTGCTGGTTCCCGGGATGGGAATCCGTAAATGCTTAGTGCTGTTTCTTCTCTGAGATTCGTTGCATTGTCCCTGAGCAGGATTCCTGATATATAAATTCATTTTCTTAATGGAAATCCAGGGACCTGGGGAAGCAGGCTCTGTGTTGGTAGGTGGAGGTTGGGAGAAAGGTGGAGAGCCCTCTCTGCTGCTGAGTTGAGCCCAGATGAGTAGGAAAACAGTCTTTTTCAAGGCGGGAGCTGCATTCGGAGCCTGGGATGAATCCCCCAAAGAATTGTGGGAACCTGGCACTATAACGTGAACTCTGAGTTAAACTGGTTCCTCTAAAAGAATGTGTTAGGAAAGGAGATATATGACTTATCAATAAATATTTGAAACTCAATTTTTAAAAGATGGCTGATTCTTAAAAAGAAACCTGAAAG